GGACCGCACGTCCAGGGCTCTGCTGCTCTGCGGCAGTTCCCCCTCCTGTAAATCTCAGGCCACAGTCCCATGTCTCTCCAGGGGCCTTTCCTGAGGGAGCGGCCTCTCAGCTACCAGTTCAGTCGGTCAGCTCTGCTTCTCCGGAGGGACACCCCCAGACCCTCCCATACGCCCGCCTCACCTCGCCTTCCAGACGATGAACGCGAAACCCCCAATGAGGTCCAACACCGTTACCAGAGCCCCATGTGCGTCAGTGGCATAGCGGAGACAGGAGCACAGAACACGGGTCTCCCGATGCCTGGAGTTTTAGAGCTGGAGGTGCTTTTGGTTTTTTTTAGAGATTTTTGCTATAGGGTGCATGTGCTTGCCCAAGAGACAGGAAGTGAAAAATCACCCCCCCAGGGGTGATGGCCACACCCAATCCTTTCTCCTCAGGATTTCGAGCACACACGCACACGTGCCCGGCGTGAGTTTTCAGCCGCTGTGTCCAGACTTGAACTGCATTGGACTACGTCGGAGTCCAGTGACGTAACCATTACGCCGTCTGCTGGTCCCTGGCGGCGGTCTTAAAATCATTTGAACCCGGGCCAGCAGATGACACGGCGTTAAAGGACTGGATCTCACATGGCTGACTGTGTGCGTAGAGTTCTGGACCTGGTGACTTGAAAACTATGCCAGTTGCATGTGCGTGTGTGCCCAAAATCCCGAAGGGAGAACAGGGGAGAAGGGATTGGCATACTCACCCTCCCTGGGGCTGTCTCACTTTTCCTCGCTTGCACTCTGTCTCTCCACAGTGAGCACACACACCCTCCAGGGGAAAAAACAAAACAGCTGTGCCCGGGCGTCCTGCCCCACTGCTCTGTGCTCCCTCCCCATGGGCTCCCGTGTCCCCACCTGCCGTCTCTCTGCCCTTGCCTCTGCATCCTCCCGTCGTGCTGATGCCCAGCCCTGTGGTCTTGTTATCAGGCTTGCTTCCGTGGCCCACCTGCCCGAGGCTCAGGGAGAAGTCCCGTGAGGCCCCGGGGCGTCTGGCCAGGCTCCACGCAGTCACTTTCCCAGCACTTCTTTTCTCCCTTGCTCTCGGCGAGACAATGGCCCCCGTCCTCTGGGGAGCCGGGCCTGGGAGGCTGAGGACAGCCGGACACAGCCGCTTCCTTGCCAGCCAGCAGAGGGCCTTGTCCTCAGGGCCCACTCGCTGGGTTCCGACCTATGCACTGAGCAGGGCTGGCCTCCTCCTGAATCCGTATCAGAAGGCAAGCAGCCCTGTTAGTCTCCCCCAGCACAGACCAGGCAAGGCCCCCTGGACTCACTCCCTGCCGGCTGAGAATGTTCTGACGGGCGCACTCGGCCCTGGGCTCGGAGCTGTCAGGTGCCCTGCACCCCGTGTCCTGCTGTGGAGGAGCAGAGAATCTCAGAGCTGGTTGTCACCACAGCTATGTCCAGCCCAGGCAAGGTTGACTCTGAGCTCCTGCGTGGCATTTCCCGGTGTGCATGTGTGTGTGTGTGGGGGGGTGCATGTGTGCTGGTGCAGGCCGCTCTCACGTGGCTGTCACGGGTACACTGTGAACCCGGAGCAGTGGCATCCAGACATGCTGCACACAGCCGTTCACTCTACTCAGAGTCGCGCCTCCCCACGCCTCCCTCTGGGCCTCGAGGGCCCCTGCCGGTCCAGTCCTGAATTCTGGAGGTGGCCAGCTCTACCAACCCCTCCTCTCACCGGCCTTGAGGGCATGAGCCCTGCCTGGCAACGCGCAGAGTCGGTTTTCCTGTGAACTGACCCTGTTGGGTCTCTCCGTCTCGGCTTGTCTATGCCGCGATTGCCATTTCCCTTCCTGAGCCCCAGGGTGAGGACGGAGCCTCTTCAGAGTTGTGGTGGGAGATGCCCTCAGGTTCTCAGATCGGGGGCCTTACGGGGAAGACTCGGACATCGTGCACCTGCGAGTCTTACAGGATGCAGGGAGGGGTGTCTATGTGAAGGGTCCTCCTTTCCGCCCTTATCTCCAGGCTGCTATGGGTCCAGGATGCATTTTACTGGCCTTGTCCCCCTCTCAGAGGATGGCGACCCAGGTATGGCCACACCCTTGGAGAGAGGACCGTGAATGACCCAATGACTAGCATTAGGCGTTTAAACCATCTGAAGGGTGAACATCTCCTTCAGTTCCCTCCTCACCCCCTTTCCTTCTCTCTGCCCCTTCCTCTCCCTGCCTACCCCGTCCTCCTCTTCCTCCTATCTGTGGATTGATGGAAGTCATAAAGTGTGATTTGCCGGAGGGCACATGTACTCACTGGAGACAGAGACACAGAGAGAGAGAGTGAGACAGGCCTCCCATGGGGCATGGCCACACTGCAGTCCCTTCTCTTCCACTTCTGCCTCCACTCAGGCACACACACCGGGTGTGCTTTTCAAGCCACTGGGTCCGGGACTTGAACTGTGCAGTCGGCCATGTGAGGTCCAGCTGCCTTAACCACCATGCCACTGGCTAGCCTGCATATTTGAATCGTATTAGGGGACCTTTGTAAGCATTTTAGGTCAAAGAAAAGAAGAAAGAAAAGGAAATGGGGCTAGAAGGGAGGGAGGGAGGGAGGGAGGAGACGGAGAGGAGAGGAGTCTGACGTCTCCATCTTCCTGGTGAGGGAGCGCGTTCTCCGCCTCGGCCTGAGCTCTGACTGGCTGTGTACGCGGTGTCCCCTAGGAGGGTACAGACTGCAGTGAGGACGCTGCGGTTTAGGGAGCTTAGGGGGATCTATCATGATCCCACAGCCAGTGGTGGCAGAGGCAGGACTAGAACCGGGCCGCAGCCTCCCCCTCCCGGGCTCTGTCCATGTCTGCACATCAGCTCCGGCAGCTGCCGAGAGAGCTGGTCGCCCTGGCTGCTGTGATCAGACACGCTGGAAGCATGTTTCCTGCTTTGGAAGCGAGGGGCCCGTGGCCTGGGCCGTCCTGACGGGCCCGTCCCCTCTCTCAGGCATCGATTACCGTGTGAAGACTGTGGACGTGGACGGCTCGCGGGTGGCCCTGCAGCTGTGGGATACGGCTGGGCAGGAGAGGTGAGGAGCTGTATCCAGGGAAGGGACAGTGAGGGAAGGCGTGTCCTCGACCCACGGCCTTCTGCGGCAGGTACCGCTGCATCACCCAGCAGTTCTTCAGGAAGGCCGACGGCGTCATCGTCATGTACGACCTCACGGCCAAGCAGTCGTTCGTGTCCGTCCGCTGGTGGCTGAGCAGCGTGGAGGTGAGCCGGGCCTCCCTCGGGACAGGGTGCTTGCCCTCTGCCTCCCCTGCCTTCTCCACCTGCCTCCCAGCCCTCTGACTGTTGACCTGATTGGGAATCGCCTCCCCTGGGAGCAAACAGATTCAGGCATTCGTGTGTCTGGGGGCAAGTTTCCAGGGATCCAGAAATGACAAGATCGACACCGTCCCTGCCCTCACAGAGGGATCCGCAAACTACGCCAGTACCGGGGTCGTTGTGATTTCTGCGTGCTGAGTGAGCTGGGCTGGACTTGGCGAGGGCACAAAGCAGCATGCGGGGGTTCCCCTGAGAAGTGGGGGTTTAGACCCAGTCACGACTGGGACCAGCAGATGGCGAAATGGTTACATTGCTGGACTCTCACGTAGTCGAATGTGCTTCGAGTCCCAGACCCGGCAGCTTAAAACTCACATTGGGTACGTGTGCATGCGTGGCCAAAATCCCAAGAGGAGAGTGGAGGAGAAGGGACTGTGGCATGGCCATCTCTCCTACGGGTGATTTCTCACTTTTTCCCTCTGTCTTTCTGTCTCTGGTGAAAGTATGCACCTATAACAAAAATCTCTCTCTCAAAAAAATTGAGTCACGACCAAATTCTTCCCCCGTCCTCCTAGCTACCTGTCAGGTCTCTCTGTCTCTCTCTAAGCTAGTTCCTTTCCTGAGTCCTCTGGGGTAAGGACCTCAGATCTGGAACCTTATGGGGGAAGACTTTTGAACATCTTTTATGTGTTTGTGAGTCTCACGGGCTGCGGGGAGGGGGCTGTCTGTAAGAAGGGCCTGCATTGAGGGCTGCTGTAGGTACGGGACGCGTTTTCTGGCCTGTCCCCTCTTGGGGGGATGATGACTTCAGGCCCCCTGTGACTAGTTCCCACTGCTTGTCCCCTCCCCTGCAACTTTCTAGCCCCAGTGGCTTGGCTGGCCCTGCCTGGCACGACCAGGCGGTGTCTGGGGGCCTCGGTCACAAGCCTTCACTAGGGCAGGTTGATCTGTAACGGGAGGTCCCCCAGCTCACCTGAGGTCAACCAGCCTGGGCAGAGCCCCAAGAAAACTGCGTCCTGCTCCAACCCTGGGTTTCCTGTGAGGCTTCGCATTCTCAAGTCACACTTGCGGCGTGCACTGTTCCTTTGGTAAATGCTTTTTCTTCCTGACTGTCCGTGTGTTCTTCCTCTCCCACTTCAGGACAGACTTCTCGAGGCCAAGGGCAGTGTGGACAAACCACTCGGTTATTATAGGGCTTCAGCTGATAGGTTCATCAGCAGGACTGTCATGGGTTCACTTATTGTTCAGACCCTGCCAGGCGCCATTCCAGGGTCTGGGCTCACAGCAGTGAGTAAGAGACAGAGCTCCCGGCCACACGGGCTCTCGCTCAGCTGACCCTCCGCTCCAGGCCCCCAAGATCTCTATCCCCTGCACACACTTTATAGCCCTCACAAGGCCATGCCCCCACTGGGCTCTGTGCCACCGGAGGACAGAAACCGTACCTGTGTCATTGTCACTGTGTGCTGGCCAGGGGGCCCATGTAGCTAGTACCCCACATGTTGGAGGAGTGACCGGGCGTGACGTCATGGAAGGCGAGACGCCGGAGCCCTTCCTCATTCCTCTTGGCTCTGAAGTCTAGGCCCGCCGCCACCCAGGCTCTCTCTCTTGTAGCTTTGACGGGCTAGGACACTCCTTTCTGAACCGTCGGCTCTACATCCTCTCTACCTGGAAAACTGGGGAATGCAATGAAAGCCAGACTCTAGGGTTTCTCAGAAGTTTGCAGGGCCCGGTTGGTGGTGTAGTGGTTAAGGTACTGGACTCTCACATGGCTGGCTGTGGTTCAAGTCCCAGACCTGGAGGCTTGAAAATCATGCTGGGCATGTGTGCGTGCATGCCAAAAGTCCTGGGAGGAGAAGGGATTGTGGTGTGGCCATCCCCCTTAGGGGGTGATTTCTCACTTTCCCTCTCACTGTCTCTGTCTATCTCCAGAGAGTGGCCAGGAAAAAGGACATTTGCAAAATACAAATTATGTCTGAAATTGACTACATCTAAAACACTTACACATGAGAAAATGTAAGGTTTTTTTTTTTTTTTTTTGAGAGGGTTTTTTTTTCACTATAGGGTGCGTGCGCTCACCAGACAGACAGAGAGAGACATAGAGACAGAAAGCTGGAAATCACCCCCCAGGGGGGATGGTCACGCCACAATCCCTTCTCTTCCATTCTCCTCCCGGGATCTTGGGCACGCACGCACACGCGCCCGGCGTGAGTTTTAAGCCACCAGGTCCGGGACACGAACCGCGGTCGACTACGTGGGAGTCCAGTGACATAGCCATTACGCTAACTGTTGGTTCCCGAGAAAATGTAAGTATTGCATGTTCCCAGGCTGCCTGGACATCCAGCTGCCCAGGGAAGAAGTGGTGTGGGCAAATCCAGCCGTGATCTCTGTTAAAGAAACTTTGAAATGACTTTTCTTTTTTCCCTTTTTAATTTTTGTTGGCAGCACCCACAGATTTGCCTTCCCCGTAAAGCTAAGAACCTGGAGAGACTTGAGGGATTAGCGAATTCAGCCGTTTTAGGGCTTTCTTCCACCGGGTGTCCCCCATGGGCGAGGCAGGGAAGGGTTTGTGGTCTCCGCTTTGAGCCCCTCAGCCCTATGGCAGGCAGAGTTGCCCTGCTGCCTTCACTTCTGCAGAGTGGAGACCCAGGAACAGCTTAGGCAGGAATTTCCCAGGCCGGCCTGTAGTAGCAGTTAAGGGAGCTGAATCCCATGTGGCTGGCCCCAGTGACTTGAAAACATGCCAGGGGCATGTGTGTGTGTGCCCCGAATCCGAACAGGATGTGGAAGTGGAGGGTGAGGGACTCCAGCACGACTGCTCCCCACTGGGGGTGCTTCCGCCCCTGCCCTGTCTCTCTGTTTCTCTTTGGCAAGTGTTCTGTGCCCTTTAGCAATTTGGTTTATTGTTTGCTATGCCAGAAGCAGAGAGAGAGAGAGAGAGAGAGAGAGAGAGAAATCCTCCCCCAGCCCTGAGGGGATGGCCATGGCTTAATCCCTTCTCCATCCTCCTCTCAAGGTTTTGAGCACAACCATACGCGTGCCTAGCGTGACTGTCAAGCCACAGGGTCCAGCGCTTGAGCTGCGATAGGCGTATAGACTCCACCCAGCTTAGCCTCCATGCTGGCCCCAATCTCTAGCAATTACAAATCCTCTTAAAAAAATAGTTTCCCAGGTCAGCCTGTGGCATGGTGACTAAGGCAGATGGACCCCACATGGCCAACTACGCAGTTTGAGTCCCAGACCAAGCGGCTTGAGGAACATGCAGGGCGTGTGTGGTGCATGCCCGATGTTCTGACGGGAGGAGAAATGGAGAAGGGATGGCAGCATGCCTGTGCCCTGTAGCAGGCTCGCTCTCTCTCTTTCTCTCTCTCTCTCTTTCGCTCTCTCTCTTCTCTCTCTCTCCTCTCTCTCTCTTTCTTGTTGTCTCCAGCAAGCGCATGCACAAGTAAAAAATAAAACAAATAAAAAATAAGATTTCCCCTTCGAAAATCTCCAGTCCCAGCACAGCGCTCTAACATGGAGACGATGAGGCTGTAAGTCTCTGAGACCACCCGTTCTTCCCCACTCAGAGACACTTCCGCGACCCGCCACACCGACCCGCTGACACACGCCGGGGCTGGCAGAGGCAGTCCTAGTGGCCTGCAGTTCACAGCAGTGGAGGGCGTGTGCTCACGGGCGACTGCACTGCCACCTTCAGGGACGGCAGGTGTGCCCAGGCAGCCTGGGGTCTCACGGGCAAGGAGGCACGTTAGGTGGAGCCTGGTGGGAGAGATGCAGCTCTGGCAGGAGGCCGCCATCAGGATCCTCAGGGGAGGTCAGTCCCCAGCAAGTGTGCTCCGAGCACCAGATGGCTGCACATTCCTTCCCGGGACAGGGCTGAAAAGCCTCATCCACATGTGGCTGGCAAGGGGCCCCCCGGAACCCTGGGGCTGAGATGGCACACCCACACAGGGTTGACTCCGACTTCTCTGTGTAGACGAGCTTTTCTGTATACTACGCGGTTGGAGCTTTCCTTTGTAAAGTTCTAGTAGGAGGTACAATTAAACTCTAGATGGGGGCTGCAAACCTACATGAATCTGAAGATCACCCGTGGATCTTCTAAGCAAAACACATGCTTAACCCCAAATTCTGATATGATGGTGCAGGGTCTCAAGTTAAAAAAGAAAAAAACAGTAGTGATCGATGATTTCGATCCTTAGCCCTCAGAATCCCGAGCAGGTGCTCTTTGAGCTCTCATCTGTCGGACCTCCCGAGGCCCTTGTTGAAGAGCAGGCTGTGGTTCTGGGCTGCAGCCTGACTTCCATGCGTCCGACATGCTCTCTCAGGTGAGGCCAATGCCGTTGGTTCAGAGACCGCCCTTGAGAAGCAAGGCTCCAAATTGTTTTCAGAGACGTCTGTCCCGGCACCCACAGCATGTCCAGCATGCCCTAGGCACTCCGGGGGACTCCGACGACAGACCGGGAAACGCACTTGGTGTGCATCAGGGTTTCCGGAGCGTGCAGGAGGCCGTTGGCCGCAGCGCACGTGCCGAAGGCATGGACCGGTGCCATAATCAGTTGTTCTCCACATTCTTGAAAAGCCGTCATTCTGCCTTGGCAACCGGCAATCAGAGGTGTCAGGGGATAGATTAAAACTTGACACCTCATTTGATCTGAGGGGAACTGAAAATAATAAGTACTTCATATTTGCGGGCGCCTTCTCTTCCCAAAGAACTCCAAGCACTTTACCCCCTCCCTCGGTTGGAGAAGGGAGGGCGAGGAGAGCTCGAATAACTGTCTTCGAGGTTCCGCAGCCGTGTTATTAGGGCAGTGGTGGCCAGATGTCCACGGTGACCTGCTCCCTCACCCTGCAAAGCGGCACAACAGAAACGGCTCCGGTCCCCACACGTGCGTTCTGTGGGAACGGCTTCCCCTGGGAAGGGGTGGGTGCGTGTTGGGGGTGAGGGGACAGAT